TCTCTCTCTCTTCTGTTTTCTTTTCCTTTTTCTTTTTTAGTATCCCCCCTCTGTTCTTTCCTCTTGCTTTAGCACTGCAGCTTCCCATTGTAGACCTTGCAAACTAAGTGATTTGTCGCCTGTAGGTAATCGAGGCAACTGGTGCTAACTACTATTCTGTTCAGTTCTACTTTTGTCGGTGCTTGTCATTTATAAAAAGGGCAGCACGGTACACTAAGCTCCCGCTATGCGCGAGGTTCGGGGAAGGGCCGGACCACATGGGTCTATCATATGGAGTATTACCCTGCATTTCTACAAGAGGCTTTTTCCACAGCTTGAACCCATGACCTCCTAGTCACATGGCAACAACTTTACCAGATATGCCAAGGATCCCCTTCGGTGCTTGTCATTTATATGAGCATAAATTGCTCTTCACCAGTAAACATCTATCTCTACATTTTACAAGAAGTTGATGTACTTTTTTTTATGGGTAAGTAGCAACAAGAGCAGCAATAGCAGTACGGGGGATTGGTTTAGCAGAAGAGCAGGCAGAAGGTTGTGGAAGCCTAATGTCATTAATTTTTGTTCAATTTTGTTAACTGCATTAGTAAATGTCACAATTGGCCGATTTGTCAAAAAAGTAAATGTTATGTGGAGATCATAATAGCATGTAGACTCAAAGCCGTAACGAGGTTATATTTCGTGCACTAAAACTACTCTTCCACTGCTACACTTAGACTGGGGGACTGATGCTGGTTTAGCAGAAGAGGATGCAGAAGGTGGTGGAAGCCACTAGATTCATTAATTTTTGTTCAATGTAGTTAATTGCATTAATAAATGTCAAAATTGGCCCATGTGTCAAAATATTAAAGGTTATGTCTGATCATAATAACATGGAGATTCAAAGTCGTAATGAGGTTATATTTCAAGGACTAAAACTGCAGTTTACCCCTTCAAAGAAGCCTCCACTTAAGTGCATTTCAGATTTGCTCCTATTTCTTATTCATAGATCGTAGATTAAGATGTTATTAGGAAAAGAAAGTAAATCATTTAATTCCTTACTGAAAATAGATCTGTAGTAGTTCTCAGATGAGGGATTCTTCTGTTACAGCCCTTAGTAGAGCTAATCAGGATATCTTTTCATTGCTAAACTCTTATGGATACCTGGGATTAGGAGAGCTAATCAGGATATCTTTTCATTGCTAAACTCTTATGGATACCTGGGATTCGTGAGATATTTCAGATAGGATATCCTTATTCCAAACACTCAACCTCATTTGTAGTGATCAGTTTTGAGGCAATCTAATGTATTGTCTTCTTGCATTATAGAGCCTAGCAGAATCAGTCTGTTGCTAGATCTTGAACTGAATCTTATTCATGATGACAATTTAGTGATAGCCGTACCCAAACTAATGGAAGACTTATCTACTTTGGAAACAAAGTAAAACTATTTCCTTTTCTCTACTACTACTACTAGAATAGTAGTAGAACTCATTTAATTGAAAAGGGAATGATGCTTGAGAATCTTTTTCTGCAGCAAAGCAAAACTATTTCCTTTTCTCAAAGTTCGATTGCTCAAATTCACGAAGAAGGCAATTGAACTTCAAGTTTCTTATAGTGCGTAACTCATATACCCGTTTCCCAGTGATTATAATTGATTTTAAGAATGTTCTATCTTGCAGATGCTGAAGCTACAAAGTGAGTGCCCATGGTCTAGATTTTCTTTCCCAAATAAAAATCCCTTATGCTGCTACTGATCTGTAAGTAATCATTGCAAATTTCTATTTTTGTGGCTGATATACATATAGCAGTCTGTAATCTTTGACTTTCAAAATTGTTGAATCATTGTATTTGTTAACTTTAGATAATTACTGTTCTTATTGGCATTAACTTAGTGAGGTTTGCTAATGCAAGTATATTTTGACCTCGTATTATGGATATGCTCACAGCAAAAAACAAGCTGACTGCTGATGAAGCATGAATTTCTGTTGTTGGTTTTATCATTGGATCATAGCATAAAATTGATATTTTTGATTTGGTTTATGGGAATTGCTTTTATTTTTTCGTTTTGGTTTATGGTGACACCTCCACCACTTGTGTACTTAAGTATTAAAGTGAGGCTTGCTCAGTTGGTAAGCACCTCCGCCTACGACCGTTAGGTCCTGGGTTCGAGTCACGCTGGAGGGGAAGTGTGGAAACACTATAGATCCTCCTTATTTGGGAGGGGTTTTAAAAAAAAAAAGTATTAAAGAGATACACAAATGAAGCTAATAATCTGCTGCTTTGTTCTATTGCAGCAAATACTGGAATCTATATATACATTAAAGCAAGAAAGTTACCATATATAATTGACATTATTGTTAAGCGAAGTGGCAAGCTAATAAATGTCAATAGTATATTGCAACTTTATTCTATATTTGACTATTTTAGTAAAATAAAAATAATATATATATATATATGAATTAAAAGATAATTTTGAATTTATAGATAAAGTTCTAAAATTTGAATTTAAATTAAAAATAGAATTTATCTTTTTTTATCATGTTATTATACTTAATTCGGTTAATGATCATATGCAATCATGTTAGGAACTTTTGTTATTTTTTCTAATTATTTAAATACTACTTCGCCTCTAGCAAAAAAAAAACTACTCCATATAACTATAAAACTCTTTCACATTTAAAATCCTATAAATATAGTTCTTTGAAACAGTGTAGCTAGATTTGAATAAAACGAAATTCTTTTAAAATAAATGTAATATATAGGGTACACATCTATGTTTATCTAAATAACAAAAAAGAGTTTACGAAACCAAATAAAAGTTTACTTACATATATAATAAAGTAAACATACATGCTGGAGAAAGAAATATCACAAAATCGGTCAATATTAAAAATAAAGTTATTTCTTTTTACCTTCTTGAAGAATATTTGTTTGAAGAGTCAATTTGCATAAATGGACATCAAACAAACAACAAAACTTTGGCTATACAATTGCTATCATTAATTTCAATTTAGCACATTCAAGGAATTGAAGGATATAAGCTGAAACCCCTTCATTTAGTTGTAGTTAAGCCAATATTGCAAGGGTATAATATTTTGTTCGTTGAAGAATATTAGTTTTGAATCATTAGATTATGTGAAAGGTTTTTTTTTCAAAATCAACAAGAGAGAAATTGGTTTCTAATTGATAGTTTCTATAGCGACTTTTAAGTGTAACAAAGAGTATATATAAAGAAAAAATTGGTATGAAGTGAAAGTTTTTTTTTTTAAAATGTAAACAAATTATTTCGAAAAAACTCTTTACTTTTTTAATTCAAAGATAATAAAAAGATAAGATATTTTTGAACATTAGTAGAGAGTTTTAAAATTATTATAATAGAAGTTATATCATGGATAAACTCAAAAAATCGAAATCTTATGGATATTTACATAATATCCGACCATATTTATTGCTTACTTTTTATAGCTAATATAAATAGATGATATACCGACAACACACGATTACACATATATTATATATGGATTATATATAAATTATACATCATTCAATTTTTAATTTAAGTGGTCGGGTGAGCACCTATTTAAGCTGATTAGATATAGCCAAAAGAAAAATACGAAATAATCTCAACCAAAGACTAAAAATATAATTAAAATTTATATGTAGACAATTCTTATTAAAACTCATCCTTTTATAGTGAAATAAATTAATTTTTTGTAACAAAAGAAATAATGACATAAAAAATAAGATAAATGAAAATAAATATAGGAAAAAATGTTAGAAAGCTCAAAAAACCAGAAATAAAAGATGACAACAAATTCTTCTTATGTTTCATCTTTGTTGAGTATAAAAAATTTGAAAGTTAATCTCATCGATTTCAAATATTTTTTTTCAACTCAAATACATAGATTATAAGATAAGGATATCTTAGAATATTTTTTTTAATTTACATTATGTGTCGTTTTTAAAAAATCACTATTACTAACAAACTGATATGATATTCGAATTTGAATTGGAATGCAATTTGAGTAGTTTGCATTGAGGTTAAGCCAAGTATGGTGTCGAAAAATAAACTACTTGACAATTTTAAGACAATATATGCAATGTTTTATAATAATAATCAACTAATTTAATATTTAATGATTCAAAGAACAAAAGTTTTGTATATATAGGGTATTAAAAATTCAAAATTTTGGGGCTAGAGATATCGATAAACTTAAAGTGGGAGTCATACTGAAATAAATCCGGCCAAAGAATCATTTAAATTTTTAGATAGCCGATTAAGTGAATTTTAAATTAAGGATAATATCTTTACTTACATCATTATAAAGATAATCATTATTATAATATATATAAAATTTTAGAAATTGAAATTTCAAAATAGAAATATTTTTTGAAAGATAAAATCATACCAAATAAGAGTTCAAGTCGTAGTATAAGAGTCACGTCGTAGTCAAAGAATCGTTTATATCGTGTCAACCTTTGTGCTTTGCCATAAATATGAGTTATTATTTCACTTTGTGGCTATTTTTAGATTCCAAAGACACCTATGAGAATAGTGCAGAAATAAAATTATCACTACGAGAATTGAGAATATGTTAGTCTTTTTTCAGGTAGTGTTTCTTAATTAATATCTAACGATTATCTATAATTATTTTGAAGGTTTAAATGTTAAGGTTATTTACATATAATTCAAATAACTCTGATATTTAATATGGTTAATTTCAAATATCAAAATGGAGTAAGAAAAATCAGTAGCTAAAGAATTTTTTATATTTTTAGATAGCCAACTAAAATGAGTTTTGAATTAAGAATAATATTTTCAATTACATTATAAAAATAATTATTATTTAAAAATAATGTTTTAGAAACTGAAATTTTAAGAAAGAAATATTCTTTAAGAGATATCAATACACCAAATAAGAGTTCAAGTAGTAGTAAAAGAGTTAAGTCTTATCCAAAGAGTCATTCATTGTCTCATCATTTGATTGTTTTGCCATAAATATGAGTTATTATTTTGCTTCCTGACTGTTTTTAGGATCCAATGACACCGGCAAGAATCAAAAAAGAAAAATAGAAGAAATGTTAACTTTTTTCATGTAGTTAATATCCAATCATTATCCATATTTACTGAGAAAGTGTAAATTTTAAGATTATTTACATACAATCCAAATAACTTAAATATTTGACATGATTAGTGCAGTGTTGTCGAAGGCGCGCTTAAGCCCTGAAGCGAGGCTCAAAACATGTTGAGCGCGTCGCCTCGCTTTGTGTGCGCTTTAGTGTCTCGTCAAGACTCTAAGGCATACTTTTATTTGCCAATGAGTGTAATCCTGAAAAGGTGACATTAAACAATTGATATTTCACTTTCTCGTAATTATTTTCCAATTTCTTTGTCCATATATTTATTATTCATGCTTATAATTATTAGTGTTGGATTACATATACATATTTTTACTTTTTCTCCAGTTGCGCCTTTTTTCATTAAAGCCCACTCTTTATTTGTGCTTTGCGCTTAAAGCCCTAAAGGACCTTTGAGCTTTTTTGCGCTTTTCGCCTTTGATAACACTGGATTAGTGTCATCCGCGCGGGTATTAATACTAGTTAAGAATGAAGCTTAAGAAGATTAAAGTTGAAAGCGCAGGAATTTGGTAGTGGGTTTATCTCATCTTTAATCGAGAAGTTTATGACTAATCAACAAAGATTTCCAGTAATGATTAACAAAGAATTTTGATTACTTTAGTGAGCCATTTTTGTTAGTGGTGCGATTCATTTCTTCTTGTTCATCTGTCAACTGTTAACCTTTCAAAATAGTTTTGTGTCATCGAAATATCTCAAAGCTAAAAGGTCATGGGTTTACGGCTTTCCCCACCTCAAGTAAAATGCATTGACTAAGATTTTTGATTCTGAACATTCATGTCGATTTGGTCAATGACCAAACATACAACAACGAATGGAGGAGCAGTCAAATTGATTAAAGTTGTAAAAACAAGCATAACACCTGAGATGACCAAACAATACATAGCTTATGATAAATGAAATTGGGATGGACTGACATAAAGCAGATATTTATGCCAAAGTTGGCCTGAAATTTATAACATTTCTTTACTATTTAATGTGCGGGCAAACTCATATATTTCTGGCTCTAAGAAGAGCAATGACTTCCTGATGCTTAAGAAAATGCACCATCAACTCATTCCTTTTAGGCTCCATTTTATCAGCATTATTTTCTTCATCTTCATTGTCATCCGTCCCATCAGATGATAAATAAAGTGGAGGCAGTAACTCCCCTTTATCTAGCAAAGCAAGGCTCTCTTTGTAAGTGCCAAAATAAAAAGAGTACCTAGTGCCAAGAATATTGAGGTGCAGCTTTTCTTGTGTCTCAGGATTATATGAAGTTAGCATCCCTGATATCTCTGTCAACAGTATTTCAGTATCATTATGAAAACCCAGTATCATGCCAAACCGCTGGTGGTCGAGTTGCTGGTGGTTGAGTGCAACATTATATTCCATGCTCCATGACTCAGTGTCTCCATACTGTTTCATTACCCAAATGGAACAACTGCTGCTCCAAATACGTGTATTGTACTGATACACAGCAAGTGATTCCCTACATTCCGCAGCAGTCAGATTCGTAGGTGGTTCATTAACCAAAATTTCTGGTAATGATAATTCCTGAAAAATCTCATCATTTAGATCAAACACCATTATCAAGTTCTCCACCCTTCTTTCCTCCCCAGTTATCTTGTATGCAGTCCAGTGGACTTTCCCACAAACAACAGCTTGTGTCCAAAAGTACTCTATAACACCATTGTCTGGAATAAAACCATCAAATTCCTTCCAAATTCCTGAACTAACTGCATATACCTCAACTTTAGGTGGCACCAAGTAACCACCATCACCACGAGCATAGGCCATCCTCACGACCTTGTAATCTCTCGTTTTAATTGCATAGCCAAACCCACAAACAAGCATATAGTTGCCTAAGTTTTCAAGAGAAGACATTGGGAGGGTGATGGATCTGCCTATCATTGGGTTCCAAAGTACCAAAAGATTTTTAGATACAAATAAATCATCTGACAAACAGAGGACGCCATTGCATAGGCCCACGATCCTGTAGTAATATCGCACTATGCCATTAAAAGGGGCTCCTATTTTGAATTCAGTTTCAATACCGGCTAATACATCAATGAGTCGAATAGAGTATATTTCCTTCCTTTGAGTTAGTGAGAAGTACCTGATGATTTTACCTGCTGGTGGTTTTTGGAGAATGTTACAGTAGGTGTGCAGCGATATGAATTCAGAACTTGAGATTAGTGAGTTCCATGATCGCGATATGCACCTAAATCGGAGTAGAGATTTGGGTGTGAGCCTTGAGAAGATTGGAACCATTAATTCTTCAGGGATATAGTCTGACATTTTTCTTGGGGTATGAAATTGAAGATCTTGTTATTTTCTCCCTCACTTTTCTATTGTTTGAGAAGAAAGGTTGGGTGGGGGAGGGGTAGTTCTTGAAAGAGAGATTGCTCGCTGGTGAGAGCAGGTTTTTGAAGTTGATTGCTAGTGAAGAGCTTCAAAAGCAAGTTGATTGCAAGAAGACAAGAGAAAGCACTATTTATACAAGGTAAATAGAGCTAAGACAAGAATTTGTACCAGAAAAGTAGATGCTGGCTAATCCAGAAAGAGAAGCTGTTTAATTACTTGCTCAAAATCTTTTCTCACATTTGGAAGGTAGGAAATGAAGAAAGCAGAAATTCTTTTTGAGCTAGCTTATTTGAAGCAGGGTAATAATTGCGGTTCAAACTCTTATTGAGTTTCTTAGAAGAAAAAAATAGTCCAACTAATCACTTGCCGAATATCATTTATCTGTTGGTTGACCTTTGACAATAATAATAAACTAAATATATACTTTTATCACTTATGGTAATTGGTTTTTTTTATAGGTTGGTAAGAGCTGATATAGTGATACTTGCTTACATCGGTAAGATATTACATACCAAATTTGGACTTTTAGGGAGGAAATTTATTTAGTTGTTAATAGTAGGATGATGGAATTTCATAAAAAAAAAGGAAGTGAATTTGAACTGTTCTTTTTCTTTGGAATTTTCTTTGGCCTTCTTACTTTGTAGTTAAGAAATAAATTTACGTTGTTGTAATATACATAAAAGGTCCAAATACACCCCTAATTTTTGTGATTTGTTCTATACATGCTCTCCATTTACTTTCGGCTCATAGGAAACCCAATGTTATCTTTTATCTCAAATATGCCCCCGTTAGCCGCATAGAGATATTTGGACCTTTTCAAGTGTTTAGGGATATATTTTGACATTTTCAATTGTTCAGGGGCATGTTTCATATTGTTGTAGAGGGTATATATTAACCAATTTGATAGTTTTGCGATAAACTTGGATATGATGTTTGTCTACATGGGCAGCTGTCAAAGCCAAGCTGGGTAGTTGTTCGCGGGAGGGGAAAATATGAGATGATATTAAAGGTATGGATCAAAAGGTAAATGAAGGGAAACTGAAACCTTTTGGGTTGATTTGAACTTTCTCCCTTCATTAGCTTAGCAAAGTCCCCCCCCCCCCCCCCCGCATCTTTTATCTCAATATGTCCCTCTTACAAATAGGTTTCTACCGCATAAAAATCGGTCAAGCCGCATAGGGATATTTGGACCTTTTCAACTGTTTAGGGATATATTTTAATATTTTCAATTGTTCAAGGGCATGCTTCATATTGTTGTAGAGGGTATACATTAACCGATTTGATGTTTGTCTGCATGGGCAACTGTCAAAGCCAAGCCGGGTGGTTGTTAGCGAAAGGGGAAAGAAA